GGAACGATTTTTATTCACGCGGAACGGCTTCAAATTTCTGACGCACTTCGAAAGCAAAACGAGTCAATTTGAAATGTTTTTTAAGTCGTTAGCACGCTTTAAGACACAATTTAGAGTAAAAGAAAGTTTTTAAACTTTTACTTGCTATAAAAGTTAAGAACACTTGGCGATATATCACAAAACAGTTTTTCAACAAAACCAACTTTAAATTTGAGCGCGCCGTACAGGAGAGTACGGCCTGCTAAATTGACCAATCACAGCGCGGGTACTAACTAAGAGATATAATAAAAGAATCTTAGTTCAAGAGTCTAGCCTATCAAATAATGTCTCCAGACTTATCTTTTTCCTCGTATTGAGGCTCCGAAGGCTAAACGGGAAAGGCGGCTCAGAGGATGACAACGTTGTTTTCTCGGGGAATCCCATTAGGCCTTGGGAGAGACGCATGGCGCCTCCAGTTCAATTTTTGTCTTCCTGGTTCTATGTTTACTTAGCAAAGACTGAAGGGGCGTCAACCACGCAGGACTCCTCTTAGATTGCGAGAAAGCTCTCTCGGCAGTTGAAAAGTGGATGTCTATTCGCCCATTATCCAAACTGGTACTTCCTAACATCCCTTTCGTGACTAACACCTTTAAAGATTTGGCTTCCTCTAGAAGATGTCCGTCACAGATGAAGGCACGACGTATAATAAAAGAAATAAAAGATAAGAAAAAACACCGCTGTGAAATACAATAAAATGCAATCGTAAAACAATGCTATNGGCTTCCTCTAGAAGATGTCCGTCACAGATGAAGGCACGACGTATAATAAAAGAAATAAAAGATAAGAAAAAACACCGCTGTGAAATACAATAAAATGCAATCGTAAAACAATGCTATTGATTTGTATCCGGTTGTTGGAGTAAAGATACAGGGTTTGAAGATAAAAGGACAGTGACCGCAAATTGCAAACCACAAACTACAACAAAACAGTCCCCGATTTTAATGAACAAAAAATATATATTATGGAACTAAACCAAAATATTTCAATTTTCGGCCCGATTATGCTTTCTGGAAAAATTCAGATAAAATTAAAGAAAAAAACAATGTTTCTCGAGACTTACGGCATATACTGTAGACCAAACTCCCATTTTCCACAGTTTACACTGCGTGAAAAATGACGTGTCGTGACCCGGAAATCTCTCGATACGGACCCGTATTCTCCGAGAGGACGGGCAATTCCGGGAGTATCGTGTTCCGTAAAACGCAACTTGCCCGCCGCTTGTCAGGAACTTTATTTTTTTCCATGCATTCGAACTTTATCCGTGGCAAGGAAAATCCGTTCCCCGGACACCTCATTGAAACGCAGCGTGTCAAGGCCCGGAAATTGTCTTATTCATCCTGGTTTGCTAGGAATACCGGCGTACCGCAGGGCAAGCACAACCGATCAAGTTCAGAGTATTCTTACTCTCATCACGTATTATCACTTTGGGTTTCGACCGAAGTTCGAGTACGGGAGTCCGCTACCCGAAATTCCACGGTACGTGAAGTGTCAGTATCGGATACTTCACGGTACGTTAAGTGTCACTGGAGATTTCCCTATCGGGTATTCCATGGTACGTAAAGTTTCACTCGAGATTCCCCTATCGGATATTCCATGGTACGTAAAGTTTCACTCGAGATTCCCCTATCGGGTATCCCATGGTACGTGAAGTTTCACTCGAGATTCCCTTATCGGGTATTCCATGGTACGTGAAGTTTCACTCGAGATTCCCCTATCGGGTATTCCATGGTACGCGAAGTGTCACTCGAGATTCCCCTATCGGGTATTCCATGGTACGTGAAGTGTCACTCGAGATTCCCCTATCGGGTATTCCATGGTACGTGAAGTTTCACTCGAGATTCCCCCATTGGGTATTCCATAATACGTGAAGAGTCACTCGAGATTCCCCGATCGGATATTCCACGCGGTACGTGAAGTGTCATTTGGGATTCCCCTATCGGATATTTCACGGTACGTGAAGTGTCACTCGAGATTCCCTTATCGGATATTCCACGGTACGTGAAGTGTGAAGTGTCACTCGAGATTCCCTTATCGGATATTCCACGGTACGCGAGGCGTCCCCCGGGATATCCTATTGGATATTTCACGAAACGAAAGGTAGTTTAATGAAATTCCCAAAGTCAATGTCTCCTGAAAAGGTATTCTCCATCCGATGCATTCTTCTCCAAATTCCCATCTCACACCATTGATAACCATGTGACAAAAACAGAACAACCAAGCTTAACTTTTATATCTAATTAGACCTTTTATTAAACAAATAAAGAGGCCTAAGCCGTGTATTGCACTGTGATAAAACACGACGGGCATTTGAGAACAAGAGGAAAATGTAGAAAACACGAGCAGCAGGCAAGTGTTTTCTACATTTCTCGAGTGCTCTCAAATGTCCGGAGTGTTTTATCGCAGTGTAATACACGGCTTAGGCTTCTTCATTTGCTTTATGATATAGAAATTTTCAAAAATAATACGACTTTTTCAATTTTCACAAACATGTTTCGACGGTACATCCGTTATCGTCAGTATGACGGTTATGAAAGTTTACAGTGATTTAAAACGTGCCTGTTACAAATCACACGTTACATTGCGTTGGAAAACAATACGCTAGATAAATTTCGAAGTTAACGGAATTAAAAGATGCGCGCGCGCGTGCAGCTATAGGGAAAGCGTCAAATTGATGTGTTTGACCTGTTGACTAAGGTCAGGCTTTTCCCACTTGATGTACATAGACTCCTTAAGCTTAACTTGGTACTTGGTAGGTGCAGAGTCTAAGATCTCGAAGCAGTCTAAGTTGCAAGAGGTAC